GTTGGGAGAGGTAGGGGTTAGAGATCAACCAAAGGACTTGTATGCATGCATGTTAGCCTAACCAATAGACACAGACACTGGGGCGGTGGGGCTTGTCTTGATGGGTAAGAGAGGCTGGAGGTGTCAATCGGGGGAAAAGTAGACATATGTAATAGTTTAAACAATAAAAATGAAGAAAAGGAGACAGAGAGGATCATAGCCAAAAAAAATTAAAATGGCAATAAAAATTACTTATCAATAATTACCTTAGAGCCTGCCTCGAGCCTAAGAGCAGCAGCCTCATGTGGCCTGCCCCTGTCCAAGGAGCAGCAGCTGTGTGAGCAACCCGCTTCCCCATCTGAAGAGCAGCAACCACATGAGCAGTCGGACCTGTCTGAGAAGCAGCAGCCGCAGGAGCAGTCTTCCTACATCTGAGAAGAGGCTGCGCAACCCCCATCCGAAGAGCAGCAGCTGTGCACAGCCCGCACCTGCACTAGTCCGAGGAGCAGCAGCTGCACAAGCATCTTGCCCTCGCCCAAGCAGCAGCAGCCGCATGAGCAGCCTGCCCAATACGGGAACAGCAGCTGTGTGAGCAGCCCGCCCCCATCGAGGAGCAGCAGTTCTGCGAGCACCCTGTCCCCATTCGAGGAGCAGCAGCATCCCATCTCAGCCCGAGGAGCAGCAGCCACAGCCACACGAGCAGACCGCCCACATCCGAGGAGTGGCAGCTCTACCCAGCACGCACCAGTCGGAGGAGCAGAGCCACAACAGCCTGGATCTGTCCAACGAGCAGCAGCCGGTCCTAGGAGCAGTAGCCCCACAAGCAGCCCACCACATCAGAGGAACAACAGCAGCGTGCAGCCAGCCCCCATCCAAGGATCAACAGCCACGTGATCAGCACATCCTCTGTCTGAGGAACAGCAGGTGTGTGTGAAGCCTCCCCCCACCAGCCAGAGGAGCCACCACAGCAGTGAACAGTGCCCACACAGGAGCTCCTGCCAACTGAGGAGCAGCTGCTACAACAACCGCCAGAGGAGCAACCACAGCCCAAGGAGCCACTGCCACCCAAGGAGCAGCTCCTGAACGACTCAACATCTAGATATGTCGGTGAGATCAAACATGGGTAGACAAAGAAAGCCTCAAAGGAAAGAAAAGGAGGACAAGCCAAAAAAGCAGCTAAGTGAAACCGAGGCATGCAGCATGACACAAAAAGAATTCAGATTTAGGGTCCTAGAAAAGACCCACACCAAGACACATCATAATTACCATGGCAAATGTTCAGGGCAAAGAGAGAATCTTAAAAGCTGCAAGAGAGAGATGGAAAGTTACATACAAGGGATCTCCCATTAGATTATCAAATGATTTCTCAACAGAAATACATCAGGCCAGAAAAGAATGGATGGAAATTTACAAAGTGATGCAAAGCAAGGGACAGAATCCAAGAATACGCTATCCAGCAAGACTCTCATTCAAACTTAAAGGGGAAATAAGAAGCTTCACAGACAAAAAAAGGCTAAGGGAGTTTATCACCACCAAGCCAGCAATGCAAGAAATGCTAAAGGGACTGGTGTAAATAGAAGAAATAAAAAGCTAAGGAAGAAAACGGCCACAAAAAATAGAAATGGCTACAAACAAGTACCTTTCAATAATAACTTTAAACGTAAATGGACTAAATGCTCCAATCAAAAGACATCAAGTGGCTGAGTGGATAAAAAAAACATGACCCATACATTTGCTGTCTACAAGAGACCCACCTCAGAACAAGGGACTCACACAGACTGAAAGTGAAGGAATAGAAAAATATCTTTCAAGCAAATGGAAATGAAAAAAAAGCTGGGGTAGCAATACTTATATCGGACAAAATAGACCTCAAAGTGAAGGCCATAACAAGAGGTAAGGGAGGCCAATTCATAATACTAAAGGGATAGATACAACAAGAGGATATAACCTGACAAACATATATGCACCCAATGCAGGAGCACCCAAATACATAAAAAAAAACTCCTGGAAGGTATCAAGGGAGAGATCGACAACAATACAATCATAGTAGGGGACTTTAATACACCACTGACATCACTGGATAAATCCTCTAGACAAAAAAATCGGCAAAGAAACAGCAATCCTAACTGACTCACTAGATCAGATGGACCTAACTGACATCTTCAGAACACTTCACCTCAAAGCCACGAAATATATGTTCTTCTCAAGTGCTCATGGGACATATTCAAAAATAGACCACATATTGGGTCACAACCAAAGTCTCCCCAAATTCAAGAAGACTGAAATCATACCAAGCATCTTCTCAGACCACAAGGGCATAATATTGGAAATAAACTACAATAAAAACAACACAAACTACTCAAACACTTGGAAGCTGAATAGCATGTTATTAAATATTGATTGGGTTACCAATGAGATCAAAGAAGAAATTAAAAACATCCTGGAAACTAATGACAATGAAAACACAACAATCCAAAACCTATGGGACACAATGAAAGCAGTCCTGGGAGGGAAGTTTATAGCTCTACAGGCCGATCTCCACAAACAAGAAAAAATGGTAGTAAATCATCTAAATATACATCTCAAAGAATTAGAAAGAGAGCAACAAGAAAAGCCCAGAGGAAGTGACCCAAATAAACAAAATCAGAAACGATGGAGGTGAAATAACAACAGATCCCACAGAAATACAAATGATTATTAAAAAATACTATGGACAACTCTACTCCCACAAACTAGACAACCTGGAGGAAATGGACATATTCCTAGAAAAATACAACATTCCAAAACTCAATCAGGAAGAATCTAAAAATCTCAACAGGCCAATAACTATGGAAGAAATTGAAGCAGTCATCAAAAAGCTTCCCACAAACAAAAGCCCAGGACCAGACAGCTTCTCAGGGGAGTTTCAAGGAAGAACTAAAAACTATCCTCCTCAGACTACTACAAAAAATCCAAGAGGAAGGAACACTTACAAGCTCATTCTATGAAGCCAGCATCACCCTAATACCCAAACCAGGTAAAAACAACACAATGAAAGAGAATTAGAGGCCAATATCACTCATGAACAGCTGAAGTGCACTGAACCTGCCTGGGGGTTTGGCTAAACCCACCCTCCTAGCCCACCTTGCTCCTCCCTGGCCCAGTCCCTACCCCGCTCCAGGAGATTGGAGCCCCACCCTGAGCAGGTACAGCTGCGAAACAGCCACAATTTAAAGAATGGCGCCAAGCAGGAAGGTTTGACAGTTACTCCCCCTTCGGCCTCGCCACCCCTTTAGCGCCCCCCTAACTCCCTACCCCCTGCCAGCACCTCCAGGGACAACCAGCACTACAGGGATGCTGGCCAGAGCCTGCCTCTCCAAGGCCTGAGGAGAGCGCCTGACAGGAGCCCAGACTGCAAAGAAGGAAGAGGAAGCGTCCACGGGGAGCTCTTCAATCCCCCTGCACGGACAGCCTACCCCAGCCCCTACACCCCCAGGGGGACATATGTAATACTCTTTGTAATACTTTAAGCAATAAAACAATAATAATAATAATAATTACCTTAAATGTAAATGGATTAAATGCTCCAGTCAAAAGACATAGGGTGACTGAATAGATAAGAAAACATGACCCATATATATATGCTCTCTACAAGAGAACCACCTCAGAACAAAAGATACACACAGACTGAGAGTGAAGGGATAGAAGAAAATATTTCATGCAAAAGAAAAGGAAACAAAACCTGGAGTAGCAATACACATACCGTATCAGACAAACTAGATTTCAAAACAAGGACCATAACAAGAGACAAAGAAGGCCATTACATAATATTAAAGAGAATGATTCAACAAGAAAATATAACCCTTGTAAACATACATGTACCCAATATAGGAGCACCCAAGTACATAAAAACTCTTGATGGACTTTAAGGGAGAGAATGACTGCAATATAGTCACAGTAGGGGACTTTAACACCACACTGACATCACTGACCTTCCAGACAAAAAATTAACAAGGAAACAGACCTTAAATGACATACTAGGTCAGATGGATCTAACTGATATTTACAGAACATTTCACGTTTTCATATACATTTTTCTCAAGTGCACCTTGAACATTCTCAAAGATAGACCACATGTTAGGGCACAAAACAAGTCTATACAAATTCAAGAAAATTGATATAATACCAACCATCTTCTCAGAACACAATGGAATAAAGTTAGAAATCTACTACAATAAAAAAAATTCAAAAACACTCAAATACATGGAGGCTAAATAGCATGTTATTAAACAATGAATGGGTTACCAATGAGATCAAGCAAGAAATTAAAAACTTCCTGGAAACAAATGAAAATGAACACACAACCACCAAAACCTATGGGACACGGGGAAAGTAGTGAGAGGGAAGTTTATAGCACTGCAGGTCTACCTCAAGGAACAAGAAAAAGGACCAATAAACTATCTAACCCTACAACTAAATGAATTAGGAAGAGAACAGAAAGAAAAGCCCAGAGGAAGTAGAAGGAAGGAAATAATAAAAATCAGAGTGGAAATAAATGACATAGAAACTAAAAAAAAAAAAAAAAAAAAAAAAAAAAGGGCACAAAAGATCAATACATCCAAGAGTTTATTCTTTGAAAATATAAAATTGATGAACTCCTAGCCAGACTCATCAAAAAACAAAGAAAGAGGACCCAAATAAATAAAATCAGAAATGAAAGAGGCAATATAACAAACACCACAGAAATACAAAGGACTGCAAGCAAATACTATGAACAACTATATGCCAACAAACTGGACAACCTGGGTGAAATGGACAAATTCCTAGAAACATACAATCTTCCAAAAGTCAATCAGGAAAAATCAGAAAAACTTGAGTAGGCCAATAACAACGGATGAAATTGAAGCAGTAATTTAAAATCTTCCAGCAACAAAAGTCTTGGACCAGTTGAATTTTAGCAAACATTCAAAGAAAAACTAATACTTGTCCTCCTCAAACTATTCCAAAAAGTTACGTACGAGGAAGGAACATTTCCAGGCTCTTTTTAAGAAGCCAGCATTATGCTAATTCCAAAACCAGTTAAAGACACTACAAAGAAAGAAAATTACAAGCCAATTATCTCTGATGAACACAGATGCTAAAATCCTCAACAAAATATTAGCAAATAGAATCCATTAATATGTTAAAAAGATAAGACACCATGATCAAGTGGGAGGCAAGGCTGGTACAATATTTGCAAATCAATAAATGTAATACATCACATAAACAAATTGAAAGATAAAAACCACATTATCATATCAATAGAAACAGAAAAGGCATTCAAAAATCAGATGAATTTTAAAATAAAATAAAAAACTCCTTGATACATGTTCTTTTTCATATGTGCTGAATTTAGTGATTTGAAAGTTAAATTAAAGTCTAGGGTAGCTGCAGAGAGAAAAATAAAATCAATATCAAATTTCAGAAATATATGAGAATTTTCAGAGTTGGTTCAAACTACCTATTATGGGCTCTAACATGAGAATGTTGCTTTGGAAAAAGTGACTCTTGTCAAGTGTCATCGAATTAACATAAGGAAAAAAAAGTAAATACTAATAAGTAGGTACATTACATACATATAATCATCCCAAATTCAAAGGCAAGTTAGCTTATATAGTGTTATATTTTAAGATGAGGATGACATATTTGAGCAGTTGTCCCAGTAACTTATGAGGTAATCATTTAAATTCAGTTACTCCCATAATAGCTAAAAACAAATATAAAAACCATTCAAGAATGACCACAAATACAGTCTTTATTCTCTATGGTTCCAGAGACCAATCACAAGCCTTCTGTGTGAGACCTAGTTAATAAGAACATTATTTGAGAGGGATACAAAGAGAAGGATGGATTGCTGAGAGGAAAAAGTCATTTATTAGAATGTGACAAACTTTTAAATGTTTGCATTATCATTAACCAACTCCCTGGTTCTGTTTCCCACCCTGCAGACTCCATTCAAAGCTATCAGAGGAGCAAAACTGGAAAGCAGGCTCATGTCTAAAACACTCACACCCTCTTCTGACCCTTTTGGAGTACTGCATGCACACCTGTTACTGAAGTAGAAAACTCTAATAAAACTATAAATTAATAACAACGCAAGTAACATTTTCTACATAATTTTATATTCAAAATTCCCTTAATAAACTTAAATTTAGCTTAATAAAAATGTGAAAGACCAAATCTCCTATATAAAATTTATGCCCATGAAAAGAAAACCAACTATGTTCTCTTAACATTTTAAAACTTTACATATTTGCTAATTTTATTATAAAAATTACAGTAACATTACTTTGTGTGCCAGACACTGGGTATGAATAAACTAGTTCAATCCTAACAACAACCTTATGAGGTAGGCATCACCTTACAAATATGTAAAGTGAGGCACAATGAAGGTAGACAACATGCCCAGGATCATGCACCTGGGTGGTAAGGCTAAATTCAAACTCAATAACTGTGATGCTTACTAACTGTGAGACTTATTTATACCCAAAATATCCCTCTGAGTTAAAATGAAGTTGATATAATAAAATGAAACATAATTTAAATAGAGAAAAAATTTAAGTTATAAGGAAAATAAGTCATCCAAATCTCTAATTTTCAACAAAGTCCCAAATGGTACAAAAATATTACATGGAATAGTTTTGGTCATTTTCACATTCCATCTCCCTTGAAGATTCTGATCTAGATATCTGTGATATACCTTTTATGCATTCTTTTTATTCCCCATTCCTTTTTTCCATCAAACTATGCCCTTATTTATCTATGATCTGGTTCTTTAAAAGAAAAGAAAAAATCTAGTCCATACTGTATGTTTTATTTTTCTTCTATAAAGCACAACTACTTACCTATTCCTATCTAAATTACCTACTTCATTGAAATATTTCCAGTGCCTGGCTGGTGTGGCTCATATTTGAGTGTCAGCCTATGAACCAGGAGGTTATAGTTTGATTCCCAGTCAGGGCACATGCCCAGGCTGCAGGCTCAATCCCAAGTAGGGAGTGTGCAGGAGACAGCCTATCAATGATTCTTTCTCATCAATGTTTCTATCTCTCTCTCCCTCTCCCTTCCTCTCTGAAATCAATAAAAATATATTTTTAAAAAGATATTTGCATTAAGACAGTAAATCCAAATAGCATTACCAATTTCTTCTCATTGCAAGCATGATATTCTCATCTGCCTAGAAATAGAGTATCCCTACTTGAAATGAGGGCTGACAGACTAATCTAAGATTTCTAAAAATACTAACAAACAGGATATGAAGGCACAGTGTCTAATGATCTGTAGCTCAAAAACAAGATCTATCTAGAACATCTCTAAATTCAGTTTGCCTATTTAAAGCTATTAATATAAAAAATTAAGAACACTTAATAATCCAAGCATGGGGTAACCAAACTCACTGCCTTTCATGACCAGAAGATTCACCATGGTAAAGAACAAAACCTTCATTTAGATTTCTATTTTATATCTATGTTTTCATTTCACAATGCTAATTTAAAGTACACTTAGAGAAATCCAAAGTATTAAAAACATATAAACTGTACCAGTTTTAATTTGTTAGATCCAAAAACAAAATGGTTATATTTTAGTATAATAATTGATCATATTGCTAAAGAATTCATCATAACATTATGCTTATCTCCCAAATCTAAGCTATATAACAAAAAGAGCACAGGTAATACATATGAAAAGATGTCAAGGAATCAAGTCCCTGCAAATCCCAAAACCATTTTTACCTCTGTCTGTAGGATGGCAGCCCTTTGCTCCTTAGCAGTCAAGGACTCCTTCAGCACTTCAATGTGTTGCTTACTGTCCGAGAACTGGTTCGTAAGTGTTTCTAGCTTTGTCTGTAGAGCTAAGAGTTCTGTGTCCTTTCTGGAGAGCTCCTGCTTCACCTGACCAATCTATAGAAAAAAACAAAATGCTGTAAGGAAAAAAGAAATAAAACACCCACCTCTGATCTGGATCTTTGACAAATCTAAGTCACAAGATATGAAACTAAAAGCAGCATTAATCATAATTCATCTCTTTGCATCATCCAATCTTAGATGTTCACAAAGCTTATTTGACTAATATGAAAATTTCCAGTTTTATTTATTGTGTCTCTTAAACATTTTTTTAAATCCCTTAGAAAAGGAATGGAAAGAGAAAAATTCCAATTCAATTAGAATACTATGACACATTAATAAAAATATGAACTACACTTTTTTCATTTCGTGAAGTCAGGCCTTTTCAGAACATAATTCAGAATTAGTGTAGATGTAATTCAGAAAGGAAAAAACACTTCCTAGTATTGCTATTTAAATTTAAAATCAAAAGTTGACTGTGCTATATTTTTTATTAAGATTTTTCTCATTCTCAAAAGTTTACATAAAATCTTTATCTTAAAATCCACTTTGTATTATAAGACATTATAAATGTGTGCTTTTAAATATTTATTATTTTGATAAGTTGGGAGTATTGACCTAAAAATAGATTTCACCTACAAAATTATATTACCTGTAACATGCCATTCTAACTAAATGAAGATGACCTAAACAGAGAATGAATAACTCTTTCTGTAAGAATCTATATCATGTCTAATTTGACAGAGTAATTAATCCATAAATCAATATGATTATTCATTCTCCTATAAATTTTTCATCTTAACTTAGAAATATTTATTTCTAATACCTCCTTTGCATTTGTGTTTCTAAAAATTTTTTAAATAGTCTTTTATTCTAAATGTAAGTCAAAGTAATAGAAATTAAATCTGCTTTTACATTATGTCTACTGCTTAGGAAGGTAACTGCACTGAAAGACAGATTAATTATTGGAAGTAGAAATATGACAAGAGGTCAATAATCTCTGTATCACTGATGAAAGGAAAAGTACTTTTTATTTTTCTAAAGAAAATATATGTAAAATATTTTATTGTAATAACCTTAGATATAATCGGCAAATCTTTTCAGAACAATTTTCCATGAAGAAATATAAAATAAATTTTACTGTAATTAAAATTAGACTTTTTAAAAGCCCTAAGAATAAATTTCAAGAAGACAAGCATTTTTCTCATATGCATGAACTCTCCATTTACAGATATAGTTATTCATTCAACAAATATTTGTGTACTTATTGCATGCAAAGTACTTGAGGAGACTAAGGACATCAGTGGAAGATAATTATAAATAGCATCTATTTTCATCCTGTAATATATAGGAGTTATCACATACTGGAATGGTATAGTGTCTTTCATGATATCCATTTACCAACAAACATCAAACATTAGTATTATCCTATCGCTAACATATAGAATGCACTAAAAACATATTTGCTGTATGAATGAATATTCAGGAGAAATGTTCAAAGTGTTATCACTTCCTCAGCTAAAGAACTATGGCTTAAAGATTACTCAAATTTCCAGCTAACTCTAATCATGTGATCAAAAATAAATATAAAATCTCAGTTTCCTATCATCTGCATTATGAATTTTCAAATAATGTTATATTGATCATAAAGACTGAGAAAATAAAGAAAATATTCTAAATAGAAAGCAGAGTTTAGAAGCACAAATTGTGCTTAAAAGTTAGGAGTAGAAGCCTTGGTTTCCTAATCAGTAATAAGGAGAAAGTGAACCAGTGCCACTATGTTGTTTAGAGATTAAATAAAATAATGTATGGAAAGTGATTAGCTTGTTGTTTGAAACAAAAATAAATTACTTAATAGCAGCTGAGAAAAAAAGAGGGAAGTTATGGATTATCTTCTCTAGACAATACATGGTTACCACACACCAAATTAGACCCTTTCAGATAGAATGTTTCACTTCTGGCCCTGTACTAGAAAGTGGTCCATAAACAGCAAACATACCAAATTAGCATAAGGTTTTTTTTAATGCTGCATTCTAGTCTTATCCCACAATTGTTTTCAGAGTAGTTTTTTCTGACACTTGTGTGACAAATGTGTGCACAGCCTAGTATAAGGCAGTAGAGTGAAGAGCTTATCAGCACAGGTTCTGGAACCAGATTACTTATTTAAAAATCAAACTCTGACTCTTACTGGCTGTTTCCTAAGCACCACCCTGTTACCTCAGTGTCCTCATCTATAAATTGAGGTTGATAATATACCTATTTAATAGGTTATAAAATGCTTATAATAAGTGCTCAAGTGTTAGCTATTTTATTATATTTTGAAATGAATTTAAGTTCTTTAAGAAAGAAAACTGAATTTGATTTAAAGACTTTAATTATCTAATTTACTAGGTAAGTCTAAATAACTCTAAATACATCTTTTTTTATTTATTTTTTTATTTCCAATTAACATTTTATACTCAATTTTTAACATTTCACACATTGTTTCTGCTCAACCAATTTCAGGACTTGGTGAAAAAGTTGAGTGGTCGGCTGGGTAATAGGATAACACAAGGGAAGCCTTTTTTCCAAGGCTGGCATGTGAATAAAGTACCTACGCCGCCATCTTGCTTATACAGCTATTTTATAGAAAGGAACATTTTTTTGCAAAACCACCAAATGGAAACTTAAAGATGTCTACATATGAAGATAAAGCACTTTACTCAAGAATTTCAAATTCAAATAAATACTAGGTGATGGACCTAGAACATCTGTATATACCTAAGGAGAGAAACAAACTACCATTTATGTAAAGCAACAAGTCTCTAATAACAGGAAAGGAGTTGAGAATAAACAAGCTTTAAAGTACCATCCATACAGTGACAAAAGGAACAATAAAGAACCAGGTATAGGGCTTCCAGAACATGTGAGAGCTCACTGCACACAAGTGACATATGGTTCAAGCTGCTGAACAGGAGTTGGTTAAAGAGCAGAGCAGGCTGGTTAGTGCCAGTACTGGGCAAAGCTGCCAACCATAGGAAATGAAAAGTATAAGCCACCCAGAAGCCAGAGCTAGCAGGGTCCCACTGTGGGATCACTGCACACAAGAGGGTAAATCTTACGGCAAAGACCTCAGCCTGAAGACCAGCCGCTCTCTTTTTCAGCTCCTCCCCTTGAGCCTCTTTCGAACTTAGTTCCTCCTTCAGTTGCTCTACCTGTCACGACATTATTATTCTTTTTTATTTATGTGTCAACTTGGATCTTATCTGCTTTTGAGCCAGAGCAGTAACTGGAAGTAACAATAACATATATTGGAAACCCAATCAAATCTGTTTCCCTAATTCCCTCTTCAAAGGACCCTAGATGGTTTCTCTATTTTCACAGAGTTTTTAAAATTAACTGGGATGTGCTAATCAGCAAATGAGAACCAGGCCTTATATTGCTGAATATTTTTTCTCAAATTAGGACAAAAAATGAAAACTAAAAGAAAGTTTGAATATGTGAATTTTAAGTTTCAAATTAACATGAAATTGGCAGTAGTCATGTCATTAACAACAGATTCTTAAAATAATAGTGGAATACTATAGAGATTTATATGCCAGGTATGGGTACCACAGTAAGAAGTCAGAAACAGGAGGAATAGTTTTAATTGTCTCATTCCCTTACAATTTTCACTTCTGAGAAATTGGGGAATAATATAATTGGGATATGGCAGGAGGAAGGGGGATACTTATTTCCTAGGTAATCTATATGGATAAAAGGGTAAGTGACCAACCGTACATCCATCCAACCATCCGACCAACCAGCCAGTACATATGATGCACAACACTGACTCACGCATGCATGATACATATAAAGCTCTCACTGGCGCCAATCGCACGCAACCAATTAGCCAGTACATATGACAGGCACTGGCAATCCTATCTAATAAAAGGCTAATGTGCAAGTCGACCAAATGGTGGAATGACCAGTTGCTATGATGTGCACTGACCACCAGGGGAAGACGCTCAATGCAGGAGCTACCCCCTGGTGGTCAGTGCACTCCCACAGGGGAGCACTGCTCAGCCAGAAGCTGGGCTCATGGCTGGTGAGCACAGTGGCGGTGGCAGGAGCCTCCCCTGCCTCCACGGCAGCACTAAGGATGTCGGACTGCTGGCTTAGGCGTGCTGCCCCCCGCCCCCGCCCTCACGAAGGGCTCCCAGACTGCAAGGGCACAGGCCGGGCTGAGGGATTCCCGCCCCCCCCCCCAAGTGCACAAATTTCGTGCACCAGGCCTCTAGTTTAAAAACAAACATTTACTGCACAAATCTTTCTTTCAAATAATTTCCTTTCAATGTGCATGAATCTGTGCACCGGGCCACTAGTATTTTATAATTACAAGTATGATTTTTAATTAAACCACAACAAACCTGTAAACTGATAATTATAATAAACTAAATACTCCAATGCGCCTAAATAGTTTATAGAATCTAAATGGCTTTAGATCTAAGGAAGGAATATTGTGTGAATTTATAAGTATAGAGAGACATGTGATACTTATCTTACTTCACATATACCTGAAACACACATGGGAAACAATAAACCTGATACAAATGGATCTTCTCCAAGGGACAGAGCAAACAGTTTTTCTTTATGGAACTATATTTGAAGAAAAACCATGATTTTATTTCAGCCATATCTGGATGGGAGCTGGGGGTATACTGGGTTCAGCTTCTTAGGGTTTTGACTTTTAAAATACTTCACAAGAGGTAGAGAACTAAATGCCTCACATAGTGAGAAAACCTCAACTGGATGTAATCCTACTAAATCATCTCAGCAATACTGATAGACATGAAATGTTAAACTATAATAATACATACTTTGCCTCATACAGGTAATTTTGTTTTAAGTGAAAACTTGAAACAACTATAGAACATCTATAATTCTGAGTTTAATTCTGGGCAATTTCCACTTGAAAGAATTATTTTACAGGTATTCTTCCCTGAAGTTTGATAAAACAGTATGAAGTGTTACATCATCAGTAAGGGTGTAGGAATAAGCATCAATTCTCAAACCCCTTTTTAAAATTACAATATCTCATACCATTACCTTATTTTTCATGAATTTAGAATGACTCCGATAGACCTCCATTTGCTTCATTTCTTCCTCCCGTTCTTCAGTACTCAGAGCCCCATTTGATTTCAGCATCTGAATTTCCTCTTCCAAGTCTCGAAGCCCACGCTCCATAGAGGAAATTTTTGAATCCTGAGGACAATGGAAGATTTATACATTAAAGTAGTCATGAGAAATCAGAAAGTCAAACAACCCAGTCTTAGATGTGTTAAATTTAATTAAAATAAATATGCAAAGAAATTGCTATCTAGCAATTGATACCTTACTTCTAAAATATATCCTTATGGTAATTTGAATGGAAAGAGGAAAACTCATCTGTAATATGATTTTTCCTTTATCGCTTTCTCACATCTGCACCCTTTCAATTAAGGTTAAGAGAATTAACTAAAGAAATGAAAAACTCGTTAAAGTTTTTTGTACTTTATGGTCAATAGATATGTAGTGAAAACTTCTGTAATGTTATCAATAAAACCTTTTCCAGATATAATATCTTATCCTATTACTTGTGACTCCTAAAGGGTTTATTTCTGCCCACAAAATAAGGGGGGCATGTGTAACAGGGTTTCAAAGATTTATACAATGATGTGTGTAACTATATTTATAACTAGAGGCCCGGTGCATGAAAATTCATGCACTGGAGGAGGAGTCCCTCACCCCAGCCTGCCCCCTCTCACAGTCCGGGAGGCAACCTGGCAATCAAGGGAAGGTGACACCCCATCACACCTCTGCTGCTGCCACTGCTGGCAGCGCAAGCCTTGGCCTGCCCTGGTTACCTGAGCCTCAGGCGGCCCTGAGCGGCTGGGCAGCCACCATCCGAGGCCTGTCTGTGCCTTGGGCTGGCCCTGGGTGGCTGAGGGGACTGGGGGACTCCAGAGGCAGGCGCGCGGAGTGGCTGGGCCCACCTGGAGGCAGGCCGGGCCTTGCCACGTGCCTGCCACCCTGGTGGGGCTGAGGGGCCTGGGCACTGCCATCTTGTGGCTGTGGGAGCTGCCCTCTTTGAGGGGGGGGAAGTCAATTAGCATATGCCCTCCTTATTGGCTGTGGGCGCCATCATCTTTGAAGGCGGGGGAGGCAATTAGCATATTCCCTCCTTATGTGCTGTGGGAGCTGCCAGCTTTGAGGGTGGGGAAGGCAATTAGCATATTCCCTCCTTATTGGCTGTGGGCGCCATCATCTTTGAACGGCGGGGGAGGCAATTAGCATATTCCCTCTTGATTAGATAGGATTAGATAGGATAATTAAGATTTTATAACATACCACCGCAGAAAAGCAAAGAGATAAATAATTACATTAACAGTTACAGTTGCCCTAGCCAACTTGGCTCAGTGGATAGAGCATCAGCCTGCGGACTGAGGGGTCCCGGGTTCGATTCCGGCCAAGGGTACATGCCTTGGCTGCAGGCTTGATCCCCAGTGGGGGGGGATGCAGGAGGCAGCCAATCAATGATTCTCTCTCATCATTGATGTTTCCATCTCTCTCTCCTTCTCCCTTACTCTCTGAAATCAATAAAGAAATATATTTTAAAAAAAGTTTCTCATACTCATTATCTTTTTCTTATACTGCTGCATACGTATGAAATATTTCATAAAATTTTTTTAAAAACCACTGTCTTTGTAAACCATGACCACCACAAATATCACCTCCTAGTAGAATATCATTCCATATTCAATGTCTTGGCTTTGTTTGTGACTGTCTCTAGTGATTACTTTAAATGTCATTAATTACAGAAAGACCACTTTATATGTTGTCAGTTACAGAAAAACTACACAAAACAGATATATTTATATCAATAGTTACATATGCTTATTCATCTAAGACAGGGGTGGGAAACCTCTTTCCTGCCAGGGGACATTTGGATATTTATAACATTATCTGTGGGCCATACAAAAATATCAACTTAAAAATTAGCCTGCTATATTTGGTCAAGTATTTCATTAATTCACCCCTAATGCCTTTGCAGGGTCAGACCAAATAATTTCACAGGCTTTATGTAGTCTGCGGGCCAGACGTTCCCCATCCCTGATCTAAGAAATAAAGATCTTAAAACATATCAATTAAGTGCAGGCTTTATTTTATTTGGGATTTTAGAGAAACCATCCTTTAGAAGGTAATTTTGAGAATGACTTCCTGTTACACTTTAGCTCAAGGATTGCTGGACTGACTCTCCTTGTTATCATGTAGATAAAAGTTAAAGGATTTATCATGAGACAACTACTACTAGCTATTAGGTTCAGGGAGTGGAGGAGCATGTATTCCTCTGTCTTACATTACATACCCTTTAAAATTATCACAACAAAAAAAATTTTTTTACAAATCTATTCAAATTAAACTTACATTTGATTCTAAATAAAATATATTGGTCAGTACAATCAGAGATATTCTAAACCTAAGCCAGGATTTTACTTATTTAAAATTATTGGACCTTAGGCTACTACTTTAATTGCACTATCTGAAAATTCACTTTTGAGATGACTATAAATCTTCCTGGAAATATTAGGATGTACTACCTCAAGAATGACTAAAATACTAGGCATATGCATGTGATTAATCCACAAATGAAAGAAAGTGAAATGTGGTTCACCTCGGACATTAGCCTGGGTGGCAATGAAAGAAGGCCAGGGGAAGGAGGGCGTGTATTTCTAGCACTGTTGGTACTCCACACAAGGCAAATAGCCTTCAACTAAGAACTCGAGCTCTGCATATCATACAGACAGATTCCACCTCTACAAAACCCTACAAAAGGAGCTTGCCAAGGAACATTACCCATCTTCTCCCCTAATCCCAACACAGATAGGCAAATCAGCACCCACACTACCACATCATGCAAAATAAAAGCTTCTCCCTAGAAGGGACCACAATTGCAGCTCTGAAAGCCATGTGGCAGGCGCAGACTGCACAGAAAATGAACCTGCCTGGCTATTCTCTGAAATCAGGCCAGAAAATTAATGCATGATATGTTCAACTAGTTCCAGCACCAATTCAACTAGTATTCAGGCTGGGTTAATTCGAGGATAGTTCTTCCAATGAGGTTTCTTACTCCTAGAATCTATATATATAAAAGCCTAAGCAACCGATCGTTCAACCGGCTGACTGGTAGCTATGATGTGCAATGACCACTAGGGGGCAGACACTTAACACAGAAGCTGCTGAGCTGCGGTGACTTGGCAGCTGCAGTTCTCCAGGGTGTGTCATCCAAGAACTGCCCTCTAGCAATCCAGCATCCCTCGGGGGATGTTGGAGGGCCAGTTTCAGCCAGATCCCCGCAGACCAGGCCAAGGGACTGAGCACCGGGCCTCTAGTGTATAATAATTAAGTAAATAAATTCCTTATCATCTTACTGGTCTGGACTTCTCCAGCCCTAGGTCTTCCATCATTAACCAACCAATCCCACTAAGCCTACTGAAATCCTGTTCCTCATTAAATTTCCATTTCCTCAACTTTTTTTCAATTCCCAATTCCAAGAATACATGGTTTTCCCAAAGAATATAACTTTCCAGAACTCTCTCCAGCACCACAAAGGAGCAAGGGAAATATATGGGCACCCTAGTTTCTCAAAGCCAAACCCCTTTATCTAAAGCTCATATTTTAAGCTCCATTTCACACTACCTTCCTCACTGCAGCCATCCAGGGACTTCCCAGTCACTCCTGCCTCTTTTTTTTTTTTAATCTCTCTCAAGGATATGTTTTTATTGATTTTATTTTCTATTTCTTAAATCATCACCTGAGAATATTTTTCTATTGGTTTTTATAGAGAGTGGAAGGGTAAGAGGGAGGGGAAGACAGAGAGAGAAACATCAATGTGACAGAGACACATCAATTGGTTGCCTCCCACACGTGCCCCAACCGGGACCAGGACCAGTGATAGAGCCTTTAACTGCCTGCAACCGAGGTACATGACCTTGACTGGAATCGAATCCAAGACCCTTCAGTCGCTGGATGACATTCTAACCACTGAGAAAACCTGGCTAGGGCTATTTTTATTTAGTTTAGAGAGGAAGGGAGAGAAAGGGAAACATCGATGTAAAAGAAGAACATCAATTAGTTGCCTCCCATACACACCCCAACTGGGAATCAAACCCACACCTTTTTGGTGTACAGGACAATGCTCCAACCAGCTGAGCAACCCAACCAGGGCCAATCCTGCTCATTTTAAGAAGCCGTTGACACCTGACATTGGCACCAATCTTCCCTTCAAATGCCTCTTGCCACCATCCTTGGATTTCGATGTCTGAATTCTTTGATGTCCTGGATTCCAATGAACTCATCCTCTAGTCCAGTCATTCTCAACCTTCTGGCCCTTTAAATACAGTTCCTCATGTTGTGACCCAACTATACAATTATTTTCATTGTTACTTCATAACTGTAATGTTGCTACTGTTATGAATCGTACTGTAAATATCTGATATGCAGGATGGTCTTAGGCGACCCCTGTAAAAGGGTCATTCGACCACCAAAGGGGTTGCAACCCACAGGTTGAGAACCGCTGCTCTAGTCCATTTTAGCTATCCAGTTTATAAGGACTACACTCTGGATCCTACCTACCCAGGACTCTCTTCCCAGGCCTATCACACCATGACTCTCATTATCTGCTGTTCTTCAACCTCACAGAGATCTCCACATCCCTAACTTTTACATTTTCTCCCAACCTGGCAGTCCATTCTAAATTCTCTTCCTTCTCATCCAGGCTACATTCCTGGACTCATCATCCAAATAACTCTTTCACCATCATTCACAATTCATTTGCACACCAATAATATTGCTATATCTCTCCAGCAAAACTCTAACCCTAGGGCCACACAGTAATTCTTCCCTGCTCCTCCACTGCTATAGGAAAAAGAAGAAAAAAAATAGAGAAAAAGGGATGAAGAAGCATGAGAGGGATGAGTTGTAGAGAGAAAAAAGATTAAAGGAAGAAGGTAGGAGAAGGGAGGAGGAAAGGGGTAAGAGGAAGAAGAAAAAAGAAGGGGGAGGACGGAGAAGGAGGACAATTACATCACCTTGAAGATGATTGTTGGGTTCTTTGTCTATCAATTATCTTTCTTTCCCATTTTCCCCAAAGACGCTTCTAGATCTTCATAATTCTCTCTACCTCATGCCACACTCTCAGCAACTTAACTATTTCAGTTGTGATT